AAAAGTTTAAAGGTCTAACAAATATTTTATTTTAGCCATATGTTCATTGTATATTTTAAAAATTATACATGCAAGTCACACCAAAATTGAACTTGGTAGATATTTTATAGTAATTTATGAGACTCTCTGGTTTAAAGATGATCAGATACAAATTGTTCAACAATTTTAGCTTACATTTTCACAAATATCTAAATGAATTATACTAATCAATTGCAAGATTTTATACTGATTAATATGACATCCAAGTTTGAAGATGATCAGATAAGAATTATCGAGTTTATCAAAGAAACAACAATGAGAACCGAATTTGTCCATATACCATCCCATATATCTTTCCCTTCATCTAATGATATGGGCAAGGTAAAATAATCATGCTGCATAAAGCTAAGATTCGGTTGTCACTGTAAATATTATATGACTATACATGTATGTTAGTTAATAAATAATAACTTGCTGAAATGAAATTGTTGATAGCAACAGCTGTGATGAAGCGGTTAAAACAAACATATGTGTAGTAGTATTGCACTCACTTAGGATGTTATTGAAAGCCTGAGGTATTATTTGCGGCTGTTAATCAGGGCAGTGGGTTTTAATTATAAATTTAGTTTGTCAAGTCGCATCAAGCTGTGCAATCCTATGATTGGTGCACGAGTAGCTACAAGACTATGTTACATCAAGATTTCAATGCAGTTCACGGTTAAATAGAAACAAATGTAAATAATATTAACATAAATGTACGAAATGTCTTTCTTTTGAATTCAAATTAGCATTAATTCAGTATACATAGTCATGGCAACATACTGAAATATAATATTGATAGAATTATTATAACATAAATCAAAAAATAAATATAAATTCATTGAGTGCCCCTGTCCACCTTTAAATAAAGAGATAACAAGGCAATAAAAAGTTTATCTTACATATTAACATGGGCAGCGATCCCTATTTCATTTACAATAGTACTTGTCATGCAAATTACAATAATTACAATTAAAAATTAATGACAAGAAAATAATACGGATAATATAAACTTTAAAATATTAAGTACTGGGTAGGAAACAAGAAGGAGGGATGTCTTATTAAAAAAAAAAAAAAAAAACAATTTGGACCTTGAGTAAAGGAATTGGTAATAAATATGAGGTATATGGTAAGGTGGGAGTCTGAGACACAAGGCAGGATAAGGGTACAAATATGGATATATACATTAGCATTAACACATTGGAGGCCACACAATATTGACTCTATAAATTACAGACAACATACATTGCTAAGACTGTTGATGTGATAAAGTAGTATTGCCTGCAAAATTCTTTACTTAAAGCCTTTGGCATGTTAAGTTATAGTGTACTATATAAATGCATCAGCTACGGTATTAGCAAGATACCCATCTTGCCAAAAGCCAAACATCACGGAATAGTTCGGTAGATTTAATTGTGATTTATTTTTTTAACATTATACTGAGATGTACATCAGACTCTTGAGTTGTTTCCTGTAGAGACATTAGGTCCCTGCCTTCTGAATTTACAGAACAAATATTTTACTCATGTCACCACTGCAGACTAGCAAACTTCAAACATTACGTATTCCTAGGTTAGTTGTGTTTAGCAAACTAGTACTCCCAAAGCAGAATTCAAACAGCCATGCCTGACAGGATTTACTGAAGTGAAAACAATAAATAACTTAACCAATAAACAGTGCAATGTGTCAGGTTTCAATCAGTATAATTTGGGAATGCTGTAAATTTCTGATTTGATTTTTGGACGAAAGCTCAAAAGCTCAAAATTGAAAAAGCTTTAACTAAGTTTGGCAGAGACAATTCAACTTTAACAGTTTTGCCCTTCACATGAAACTATACTATGTTTACATTTTAGACTAACAATGCAATCCACAACAACATGAAGTTAGTTGCAAGGTGCTTTTAACCAACACATCCTTGTGGATAATACAAACAACATAAATACATTTCATGAAACGTGAAATAGTGTTTGCTGAATTGTTTTTGTTAACAACCAATTAGGAAATATCAAGGTTCTGAAGTTTTCGAAAGACTTTGGCATTGTGTGTGAAGGCTGGAAAATAACAAATAAATGAATACCATTTTGGCATTGTAACTTACAAGTGACAAATGAGTGCATTTATTACAATTAATTAACTTCAATTTTGATTTTTAATGTGAAACACAGACTTTAACCCCAACCTCAGCAGCACATCAGTCTGCCTTTGAAGCGGATGCTATTTTTAAAGTAGCCTGTCCCCATCTGAGCTTACCACACTGACGATGTGATTTACATTTTGTGGCAGGGTGATAGTTGTTCTGAATTTCTTGGGTCAGAGGTAAATCTTTTTTAATCAGCTCGTGTTAACATAACTTAGTTAAAAGTTCTAGCAAATTAATATACAATGAAAATTGGAAACCAAAATAATCGCAAACATCCATACATGCTGAAAATCATTGGAAAATGACTGTTTAAGTATTTCCCACAATTTCCACTTACTAAGACAATCAAAAATTTAAATAATGATTCCAAGGCCCTAATAAGGCTTTATGAGAGCCAGCTTTCTGGATAGTTTTCAAACATTTTGATTGAGATCTGCAGGCAATGAAAAATGTTTTGCATTTGGTAGAAAAAATAGGGTGTTCAAAGGGTTAATCATCACGCACTGTAATGGAACACAAACTAAAACGGAATTGTATACCAACCTCAGTCAAATACAAGTTCAAAATCACATCTCAAATCTGAAAGTGTGTTAGTAGTGGGGACAGAGCCAACAAATAAATTATTGCGAATAATTTCAAAATACAACATGCATTGTACTAACCACATTGTCATTTTTTGACCCCTTTCCCTAACCTGGATAATAGCAATGAATATTTGTGTGAAAATTCCTTGTGGTAAGCATAGTGAAGTCAGCCTACCAGTCATCACTGCTGCTATATATATATATATATATATATATGTAAATAATATAATCTTGTCATAACGCAATTCAACTTTGATTGGTTTTTAAAAAAAGGCATTCTTAAAATGCCCAAACTTGTTCATTTCATCTTGTTATGCACAAAAATCACATTGCACAGTGTATTTGCTTGTTATCACATGCAAGCAAGTTTAGTGCAGGAACAAAATTTTTAACTGTACAAACCAAGCCTCCTTTGTGAACAAAGTTTTAAATTGAACATTGCTAAATTTACTTTCCATTATTGACATCATCATTCTCCTCCTGATCATCAAATTGTTCTCCATTTTTCATTTTCATGATGCCTCTCTCCACGCTTTCCAGTTTCAGACGAAAAAAATCCAATGAATTGGTGCTACTCAGTTTTCTTCGCTGGGTCTCAGCTTTGACTTCTTTCCACATGGTCTTGTTGTTTTCAACAGCATCATTTAATGGCATGGCTTCAGGGAATAGTTGTCCCAGAATTCTGAAAAAAATGCAAAAAAATGTGCTATTTAGTGATAAGTTCTAGAATGGATATAATCCACTCGCCAATCACTTACCCAAAAATCAAGACCCAGAAGAGCCATTTATGCATCTCCCAATCCATAACCATTCTAATTGATTTTGAATCACTCAGGTAACTGTCTTCAGGGGAGCATTTTTAGCTCCTAGGCCATTTTCAAAAGGCAAGACCTGATTCCTTGCCTATAGAAGTCCGGAGGTATGTCACTCTGAATGTAGTTGCTCAGATATAGGCCAAGCTTGAGATCCCCATATATAATACATGTGCTGTGCCATCTATATTTATGACAACTGGCAAGCATTATATTACAAAGACATGTATACTTACTGAAACACAGGATGTGCAATAGTATCCAAGAAATTGATTTGTAACTCTGGTATACAAGCTTTCTCTCTATCCATCATTTCAATTGGATTGTTGCCCATAGCTTTCTCCTGTAAACATGCAATAATGATTGTATTTATCTTACTTAGTACATGCATAACCAGCCCAATCTATTAACTTCAAATACATGTTTATTGAAAAAGTGACTCAATTTTTGAAACCAGAAAAATGTGGTGGTTGACCAGGGTTGATGCTGCTGGTGTCAACAATGACACCATGCATAGGTTTGTTGCCTCTATACCATTCCTCCTTCATTGCAAGTACATTCATAGAATTTGTATGTTATGCTATTTTTGTGAAGTACAGAAAAGTCTCTAATGGTTATATTTAGATCAATAGGGTTTTATTTAGGACTGAAAAAAAAAATTAATGCATATCTTACCAGATCACCTTGTCTGAAAAATTCTTGATAAATGTTTTCCTGGAAAAAAATAACCAAAAAAATTATAAAAAATAAAGAATAACCTAAGACAGAGAATGAGATCTGTGAAAAACGACATCAAGTGATAATGTTATTTCATCATTAAATTAACATGGAGTTGAAATATGATTTTGTAAAATGACTTACAGCAACTTTCTTTATTGTTTGCCAGTTCTTTGTCTGGTCTGATAGATCACAGGCAGTCATAAATAAACATCTCAACAGCTTATGGCAATGTGGATCTTCCTTCTTATAACCCTCTGTGGGGAAACAACAACACAACATCAGTGCACAACAGCTCATAATAGAGAACCTCAGTAAAAGCAGCATCTCCTACATAAACTTTGATGGATGCATTAAAGAATACATATGGGAACATCCTCGATCAATGTCTACAATGGTAAGCTTCTAAGTGACATATTTATGACCTACCCACTGCCATTTTCTTCAAATCTTTGATAATGCGTAGATGATGGGCTAAATCAGTAGCTAAAATAATTTCTTGCATCAAGTCCAATACCTCTTGATAGTCCTACAAATTTTAACAGCAGATGGTTTCAGTAAAGTTTTGCTTTTATTTCGATCACCAACTTAAAAGGAACTTTGTATTTCAATTGAAACAAGTAAATTTGTGTTGTTATTCTTCTAATAGTTCACAATTTGATCTACTGAGGGTATGTACAATACATTATACAAAACAATGCTATTGAAAATTAAGAAAAATATTATCTCATTGAAATCACAAAAATTATTACATGACAAGCAGCCTGTGAGCTAATATAACTCAGCTGTTTAGATGCAATGAGAAAGAAAGAATGAGAGTGGACATATGAAATATCGAAACAATCGGCTCGTGGTGTTCAAAAAAACGTCAAAAATATTTTTTTCTACAGAAAGTTATCAAGGTACCTACATATAAATTATCAAGACAAACAGGCTAGCTATTTTAAGTTAGTGTTCAAAAACGATAACAAATATTGACTAAAATTAGAAAAAATAAACAAATCTGATTGAGGTCCACCCAAGGTGTCTTCATATAAAATACTAGAGAATTGAAGGTATTATCATGAAATGACCAAATCTGAGAAAGAACCACCAAAGGTACATTTGTAGTGAGTATACAGCTGACCGTTTTTCAGAAATGAAGACTACAATGTATTAGCTAGGAACTACTTTATACTGTGATCTCAAACTAACCTGGTAACAAAGGTCATTCATATCAATTACCTGTTTATGGTTATAAACAAAAAACATTCTACACACTTCCACTAAATCACATTGTTGTTGGCAAAATGGCCATTTTCAGAATATCTCAGCCTATGGCCAATTTTTAAGATAATGGTAACTCACAACCCTCACATCCAGCTGATTGCCAGAAATCATGCCCTCTTGCAGTTAGCTTTCAAAGGTACTTTAAATAAACCCCTTTGGATTACACAATATATTTGCCTAATAATAGAGTTCCTTGTATTACATGCAAAAGCCTGATGTTGACCGACTGATTGATTGACCGATTATGGACACAGCAGCCAGAACTATCAAGCACACATTGCATGCACCATTGAGAGCGTTAAATAACTACAGTGTGGGATTAGTGTAGGACAATGCATATACTAACATTTAAAATACAACTACTTACCTTTGAAGTGATGTTCTCAAAGATATTACAGCCTTCAGTATTGAGAATACACAGAGCTTGTGAGAAGTGATGTCTCTGAAATGTAAACAATTGCATAGATACACTTCATATTGGGATATTATGCACTCATTTTTTAAGAGCTTAGTAGACAGAGGTTATTTACTAGGAAATTACTAAATAATAAAGTTTAGTTTTCCTGCACGGATATACTTGTTACACAACTAAGTGTTTTTTGCTCTTTAATTGTAAATATGTGCAACAACTATGTTTCCTGTTATATTAAGCAGAAAATAATAAAAGACTGTTGTAGTGTTCAGATAACTGTTGACTCTTACCTCTAAAACAGAACCTTCTGAACTGTATAAAGAAGCTAACACTGACTCCTAAAAAAAAATGTGATCGTCAAAACTTTTTTTTATTGGGATGTAATTTGGATAAGTCATGACATAAAGGATTTCATTGTAAGTATGAGAGGGTATTGTCAGTGAACCAGTTAAACAATACTTACTGATTGTACTTGAAAACTATTATTTGTTCCCCTGTGATCTAAATCATGACATAAACTAGCAACAAACAATCCAAGAATTTCAATCTCACTGAAAGAAAGAACAAAAACTATCAATAGATGTGATCAAACTTTCACTTCATTATTCTGCTTAAGGCCATTAGTGACATTTGGGCACATTTCATCACCCCCCCCCCCCAAAAAAAAATGGGGGGGGGGAAGTGCTACCTGAAAATATTCATAATTTTACATTTTGAGATATATGTTGAAGCATGATTTCACAAAAATGAAGATTAACCATCAAAATTTCCACAACAAACTATTTTTTCATTAACTAAACAACATTTTTGAAATATGACCTAATATATAGAAAGCAATGGGGAGAGGCTCAAAAATAGATCTTACCGGTAGATGCAAATACCTACCAAGTAAGCGAGAGAGCAACATGACCTGTTTTTGACCCTCAAAATGTGTTCCAGACACAGAACATCAGTAACAAGTCATTGAAAATGACACAGTCCCCGTTAAATTTTTGAAAGTTCTTTTTGTGCTCGTCATATTAAAGCGGAGGGGTTGTCGCGACCGTGTCCTTGAAACTTGAGTTCCAAGGGGTGTATACAACAGATTGTTTATTTACATCAAAACACGTGCTCCTTGTAGTAGTAATATGGCCAAAAATAAAAACAGTCCTTATTCGGCCATCTTTGATCTGATTATGAAACACACTGATATGTCCGATGTATGTGCCAAATACGAATGAAAATGGTACATAAATTGTGGAAATATAGTAGTAAGGCCAAAAAGTCAGATGGCTGTCAATCGGCCATCCTTGACCAGATTTTGTCATGGACATGCATCCTAACATGTATAAAGTACATGTATGTGCCAAATTTGAATGAAAACTGACAGAGCACGTCCAAGATATCGCATAAAAAAACAAACAAGATGCCTGCCAGTCGACCATCTTTGATCCTATTGCGAAATAAATCATCATGGACATGTATCCATGTA